GGATGGACGGACGGACGGGTTTGTTTTACTAGGAGATTATGGGATGGACGGACGGACGGGTTTGTTTTACTAGGAGATTATGAGGAAAATTTTCAAATTTAGTAAATGAAAATCAGAAGCGGATTAAACAGAAATAAACTTCCTTACTAGCTTGGTTATCTTGGTAAATAAAAACAATATAAAAATCAAAGGATTTTCCTTCCTAACAAATGCAACACTTACCGTAATAGCTTCTAAATACTCTGTATATATTTTCCCTTGTTTAGTAGTTTTCTTTGGTATTTATCATTCAATGCTTGTTTTGTCCCTAATGTTCAGCAAATCAGAAGCATTTTTGAAACAATCTTTGGCTTTTCAAATGAATGTTTCCGTAAATGTAATTGCTGCATATCCACGTATTAAACACTTTGGGATAAATGAATACATGATTAGAGTTCATCACCTTTGTTCAGAGCAGCGTGATCGGCAGGCCGGAGGGGATTCAACTGATGAGTCATTAGACACTCCAGACCTGGCTTGATCTTAGAGAAAATGATTTGCTGTCATTCTGTCATAACCACAAGATTTCTGAAGCATTTCATTTTACCGTAACACACAATGAAATGTCAATTTTCTTGCCAAGCCCATCAAGACCCATGAGTCCTGTTCTTAAAAGCCTCAGTCCCTCTGCATCCATTGGACCAATGTCTCTCGCCGCCACTGTCATCATTATTATGCTAGAAAAAAATTAAACTTTGCAACTAATTTTGAATCTCGTGCTTTTCTGTGGCTTATGTGAACTTTCCAAGATGCGTGCCATCTGTGGAGTGAGGCGAATGTCAGCGTTGTCAGTGGGATTGCGGATATTCGGTGTGACTAATACAGACGCTCATCAGACAGGCAGCCGGTTTTATATGCTAGTCCTCTTTGGGGACGACAATGATCCTCGGCTACAAAAACATTCATAGAAAACCCCATAATGATTCAACGCATTTTCATTAGAGGGATATTAACAAGTAATTATTCCCAAATACCTTTTATTTTCTATCTGATTAATGTTATCTCAAGAAATTGTTGTCTGATCCTTACCAACGAAAATGGCACCAAACAGACCCATGGGCGGTTATAGACGGGGCCAACGGGGCCAGTGCCCCTATAGATCATGTCCTGGCTCCTGTACTGAAGACATAATACTCAAAGAACTTCTAATGATGATCTGCGCTGGAACAGACATGCTTTCTGATCATTCTTTTGGATC